ATAAATAATCCTCCTTTCATGAGCCTTTTCATCATAAAACAAGCATTATCAGTTCATTCATCAAAGATCCCTAAGGTTCTAATTTACTTTCTTGTTTCTAGTTTTCCAGAGAAATGAAGATGCTCAGTACTAAGAAACTCATCAATATGGCCAAGAGATGGCAGAAGTTCGAGGCAAAACAGAGGAAGAGGATTTCATTTCCAAGAAATGGCAGTGATACAGACAGTTGTAGTACATCCTCATCTTCTATAGTTGAAAAGGGTCATTTTGTAGTATATACAGCTGACCAAGCACGGTTTGTCATTCTCTTGGCTTACCTTGAAAATGAGGTCATTAGGCAACTTTTAAGCATGGCTGAAGAAGAGTTTGGGCTACCGAGGGGTGGCCCTATTACATTACCGTGCGATTCAGACTTCATGGACTACATTATTTCACTAATCAAGAAAGGTGTATCTGCTGGAGATCTTCACAAAGCATTGCTCCTCTCAATTACTTCATGTTGCTGTTCAACTTCTTATTTGCACCAAGAAAGTGGAAATCAACAGATTCTTGTTTATTGAGTCATAACATCATGTTTTGTAAATGATAGCACAAAATAGATTGTATAGAAAAATAGGCAACTGAAAGCTTGTATTATTGGAATAGAGCCTTATCTTGAAATTAACATTCAATATTATGATTATGGTAAGATAAGATAAAATGTCAATACGGTTATCAAAAGATAAAATGCCAATACACACAAAACACTAGTGAACAAGTTCAACAGGGTTATAGTATAGATACTGATATCTCTTGTCATTAGCTGGTTGCCTAGAGCTTCTTAAGAGAGGCTCTGAGATGGGGCTGAAGACCAATTAGACTGGTCGCCATTTCCACAACATAAGACAGTTCACAATTCTCCACTTTAAAAACTCGACTGATCTCCTTGACCTGTCCATTAGGTAAGTGAAGGATCACATTAGTCAAAATTTCAGCAGCCTCCAAGGGTTTCTTTTCCAAACTTTGATACAACAGGCCAAGTCAATCCTGATTGAAAAAAGAAAACTTATTGCAACTACCAAAATGCTTTCTCATTAGCCTAGAAATTTTTTTAATGTAAGGACTCTTCTTCTCTTATGAAATTTCTAGTTAGATGAGCACTGCTGCAAGAGGAGGTTACCTTTGAAGCATTGCCAACCAGTTCGCTGTTAAGCTTCACAACTCCCTCTTCCATGTCATATGTTCCTTTCTGTAGAATCAAAGTACAAAGATTATAATTTTATGGTTGACCAAATGGATAAACAACCCGAACACGCTGACATATACAATTGACCTCCTGGATTGTCAATGAGTCTTGTTTCTTAACATCAAAAGTCACTTCTACCAGCTCAGAGCTCACTATTAGTACTGCTCGCCGAATCATGGAAAAAATGTCCTTAGCACATCTCAAAAATCTGATAACATGAAATTCTGAGGCATGATCATGAATCACAGAAATGAATTTAAGTTACATACACTCGACAATTTACATTTTTTTTACACTATCAATGAAACTTTACCTTCGATAGTAGGTTAATAACTGTTTTATCAGGTTACCAATTAATGTTTGTTATATATATTTAGCTATAATTACCTTATAAGTAACTTGATTTTGTAAAATATGCCCATGCGCATAACTTAAACTCCGCAGAAATAGTCTCTCAAATTTGGGTTATCTTTGCAAAGTTTTTATGTAAAATGTCTATGAATGCAATAAATTGCATGTGATTCATAAGTAAATTAAATCACCTGGACTTCAACAAGGCCAGTGCTCTGAGCAATGACGACTTCAATAGTCCCGTCGAGTTTAGGTCTCCAATATCCACTCTCAGAATGCATAGGTTGTCCGGATTTCAAGTTCCATGTCTTTTGAGAATAAGCTATCACAGGCTGATAATAAAGAAGTAAATTTTAGGCACAATATATCACATGTACAGTCTGGAGTTCTATTAAAAGAATTTAAGAAAATGTTATGCATGCTTTCTATGAGCCGAGGTTCTATTGGAAACAACATTTCTATCTGCACAAGGTATGGGGTTTTAGCTTACGTGTTCAAATAAGTGTTGCATTCTTGCATGTGTATAAAGTCAACAACAACAACCTACCCAGTGTAATGTCACAAGTGGCGTATGGGGAGGTTAGAGAGTAGCTGCCTTACCCCTACTTGCACATTACTCCTCCCATTTTATGTAGCACCGTTTGACCAGACACAAAGTTTTAAGCAAAAAAAGAAACTTTTTTGAAACATGAGATTGAAACAAGCAAAAAAAGAATTTGTGTGGCTATAAATATCTAATTCATTAAGGTAAAATGAAAAAATTAAAGTTAAACTATTTCTAAATATAAAAAGGTAATATTATGTTGAAAACAGACTAAAACGGGAAGTGTATTACATAAATTGGGACAAAAGGAGTCCAATTTTTTGAGGAATAGGATTCAATTGAACCTCCTTAATTGCATTTAGCTCCGAGATAAAAGGAAGCTAACCTTGTTGGGAGAGTGTGAAAATTGGAGCTCTTCGGAGTAATTGAAGGAAGAAATAGTTGGGAAAAATCCCTCCCCTTCACCTCTCCAAGTTCCGAGCAGAAAAGAGAAAGGTTTTACTACCGGATGCACCGGCAACGTTTCCGATTGATTTGATACAGTTCCCTCCTCCATCATTATCCTCTACTTCTCTCTGTTTTTTTTTTCTTTTCAGCACACACAACTGTTGAATTCCCATACTTAATAAGAATATATTTGAAGAACTAATTTGAAGAATTAACCCAATATATTTCTTTGACCAAGTAAATGCTATTACTACTATTTGGACGCTTGCGTATTAAGTGGGCGTTTGGAGATAACAATTGTAAAATTTTAAAAAAAAAAATAATTTTTTTTTCAACTGATATTTAAAAATTAGAGTTGTGTTTTGATATTAATATAATTTTGGGCTATTTTTAAAATTTTATGAGTGGTCTGAGTGAAAATTTTGAAAAATAACTTTTTGGAGTTTTTTAAATTTTCGAAAAATTTCAAAAATTCATTAAAAATTGAAAATTTTATGACCAAACATTAATTTTGAAAAAAAAGTAATTTTTCGAAAAAAAAAATGAAAAAATTCTAATGTCCAAAACGGACACTAAGACTACATAGCTTTGACCAAGTAAAATAGCCCCTTAGTTTTAATTTGTGTGACATAATTTGTCATGCCTCCAACCCCCGGTTAAGCTTTTTTGAACATAGACACATTAGATTGGTTTACACTAAATCCACACTATGCTAAGGAGGCTAAGATTTATGTCGTCCACGGTGTAATTATAATTTTTGCTATATACAGGTTGGAGCCGTGCCTAATTCCTCCATCATAATGATGGACCTTTGATTAAAAAAAAGTACACTTTCCTTTTTAATTTGTCACAAAATAATATCAACTTTCTATATTTAGAAACAATTTAATTTCAATATTTTCATTTTATACTTAATGAAGTAAATTATAGTTATACACATGTTTACAGGTTTTTTTAAGATCGCAAGTTTTATATATATATANGAGAGTAAAACCGTTGAAACTTTTGGTTTTTAAACATATCATAAATATATGTGTGACAATAAAGTTGTTGAAACTTGTGGTTTAAGCATATCATTAAGGATTACTATAAAATTGAGGGGAAGAAAGCTTTCCATTAAGAATAAATAAAAAGCTTAAAATAAAATTATTTCAAAATATAGAAATATATGGAACTAATTAATAAGAAACCGAGGGATTACTATAAAATTGACGAGAAGGAAAAGTTAACCATATGACCTTCTTCTATGCTTAGATGAGTTACAAGGCTGCATCTGCCATGATGACCTTCTATAAATAGAAAGAGTAATAGTAGTAGAGAATTCAAGCGTTTTGTGCTTTTTGTTTTGGCTTTCAAAAATCAAATGTATAGGGAAGAATTCCTAATTCAAAAGAAACTTACGTCAAATGCTGCATTTTTTACAAATAAGATATAAAGAAAACTTTGTTCAAAGGTTGACTTCTGTACTGTTATCATTCTGCTATCCTGAAACAAAAGTCAAGAACCATGATTCTTCAAATAGAAGACTTTAGGCTGTAATTCCTGTCTAACAGAACTAAAGGTCAAAACTACTAGTTCTTCTGCTTTTATTGAATTCAACTTCTTCTAAATCCTACTATCCAATAGCTAGAAGTGAATGATCAGCAAGCGCAAAAAAAAAGCAGAATATCTCACCATGATCTTTCCTGTCTCACGCTATGATTCAAATATGTTGCACTGGTTTTAATCTCATTTAATGCAGTAGTTTTTGTAAAAACAACCCGCCAATTAGGAGGGTGTGAAGGTCGAGGATTAAGGTAGTAGGGTAATAGACAGTCAAGTATCTTTTATCTCATTTAAGTAGCAGTAGCGTTATCCACATACGTTCATATTCCTATATTTCTATTACTACTTAGATGCTTTTGTTCTGATTATTCTATTATCTTGTTGGTATATATTACTGTTTCTTTGACTTTTTTACTATTGCGTTTCTCTCTATTCCGTTGTGATTGATTATGCATGCTTGCTTGAGTCGAGGGTCTATCAGAAATCGTCTTTCTGCCTGCACAAGGTAGGGATAAGGCTGCGTACACACTACCCTCCCCAGACCCCACTTGTGAGATTATACTTGGTTTGTTGTTGTTGTAACCAGCCAATATGACAATTTAAAGACCCCTTAGCACATGGTTTGTTCTTCTACCAGCAATTCTTCATTTATTAATGGTGTCGAAATTACTGGCATTTTGCGAGAAGCCCCATGTTTAAGCTGATAGCCTAACTAATAGGTCCAAGTTGTTGTCTACCAAAATGAAGAGAGGAGTTTTTCACCAATTTAAGGCCCCATATATACATGACCAGCAGGCATCAGCACATGGCATTGCCTTCACAAAACTTCAGCTTCCAACTCAAAGCCTGTCTACAGCCTCTCTTGTGTATATATATTCCCTTTTCCATGAGCCTTTTCATCATAAAAACAAGCAATATCAATTAAGTCATCAAAGGTGTCTATAGAGTTTGCTTTCTTGTTTCCTACCTTCCAGAGAAATGACGATGATCAGTACTAAGAAACTCATCAAGATGGCCAGGAGATGGCAAAAGTTCGTGGCCAAGCAGAGGAAGAGGATTTCATTACCAAGAAATGACAGTGATACAGACAGTCGTAGTACATTTTCATCTTCTATAGTTGAGAAAGGCCATTTTGTAGTATATACAGCTGATCAAGCTCGCTTCGTCATACCATTGGCTTACCTTGAAAATGAGGTTATTAGGCAACTTTTAAACATGTCCGAAGAAGAGTTTGGGCTACAGAGTGGCGGACCTATTACATTACCCTTTGATTCAGACTTCATGGACTACATCATTTCACTAATCAAGAAAAGCGTAGCTGCTTCAGAGCTTCACAAAGCATTGCTCCTTTCAATTACTTCATGTTGTTGTACAAATTCTAATTTGCACCAAGAAAGTAGAAACCAACAACTTCTTGTTTATTGAGTCATGACATCATATTTTGTAAATGATAGCTCAAAATAGACTATATGGCAGTTGAAAAATAGGCAAGTGAAAGCTTGTATTATTACAGATGGAATAGAGCTTTATCTTGAAATTAACCAGATCTATAGCATTCATTATCTTGAAATAGTCCCAAACTATGAGTTTAAGTTCTATGTACTAAAATCATAAAATTTAAAAGGTAGTTGCAGATAACTCTATTTAATAGCATTGATTGGTAATCTAGAATAAACCGTAAGTAATCTGCTTCAACATGTTAAATTATACAGATCGTGTAAAAAATCCATTACATATACATAATTTAATTCTTAAAATCATATTAGTAGGCAATTTCCTATTGTATTGGAGATAGTGGCTAAATTTTAAAGTTGATGAAATCCAATTAGTAGACATAGAATTTTTTTCTTCTTCATTCATTTTCTTTTTTTACGACATAACTCCATAAAAAGTAGGGGAAACTTTACACATTGCACTGTATATTTAAGGGATCTTTACACAAATAGCCAGTCATTTTTTCTAGCCATATACATTGATTATATACATGTAAAACATAAATTATGCATATATTATACATTCACCGGCTATTTTTAGTATAAGTGGTAGGGTGAGCGGCTATTTGGGTTAATTCTTCTATAATTAACACTAACAAAAAAGAGTCAAATAAAATATATCGCTTTCTTAAAAATAAGACAGGAGACACTTGAAAATAACAAAAAAAGAGCTCATGAATCTACGAAAATTACCTAAAACTGAGCTTAACGGTAGGAAATTTCTAAACGCGCAACCAAACAGAGCATAATAAAACACTTACTACTATTAAATCTTCGCAAAATAACGAAAATGATTGAACAGTCCGTAAAGAATCTATGCGTAAATCGCAATACTAAATGTGATCTATAAGTCGCATTGTCAAAAAACAACAACAACCGAGTATAATCCCACTAGTGGGGTTTGGGGAGGGTAGTGTGTATGCAGACCTTACCCCTGCCCTGGGCAGAGAGGCTGTTTCAAATAGACCCTCGGCTCCCTCCCTCCAAGAACTCCCCACCTTGCTTTTGGGGTGACTCGAACTCACAACCTCTTGGTTGGAAGTGGAGGGTGCTCACCACTAGATCAACCCACGCATCGTCAAAAAAGCTATTTATAAATCACATTCGCTAAATGCGATTTACAAAGTCCATTTACTTGTTTGATGGAAAGACTGAAAAAAGAAGAGGCTATACATCGCCCCGTCTTGAAAGAAATTTACATTGGGAATCTTGTGTACAATGAAAATGACCTCTCTACAATCTACTCTTTCTCATTTCTAATCCTACTCTACAAAATCTCATGTGCAGAAGAATTTGCATTCATAATCTCCTCAAGCGGGAAGTTAGATCAATGAACAAATCCTCTTTGCAAGGTATTGTGAGACCACCCATTGGCTTGAGTTAGCAAGTTTTGAAATATAGGATGGCTTAAGTATGATATTGGCACCACGAATCGCTTCTCCTACATATATACTGCACAATGTCCTTTGGAACACCTCCACATGTCGAACACCTTCTTACGAATCGATTAGCCTGAATAACTCAAACAATATTTTCTTTACTATAAACCAAAGAAATCAACATGATCAGTGCTAAGAAACTCATCAAGATAGCAAGAAAATGGCAGAAGTTTGCAGCCAAGCAAAGGAAGAGAATTTCTTTTCCATGATTCAGAAAATTGTAGCACATCATCTTCTGTGGTTGGGAAAAGGGAATTTTGTGGTCTATATATACTTCCGATCAGAAGCGATTTGTAGTTCCTTTGAATTATCTACAACACGAGATAATCAGACAAAAGAGTTTGGACTTCCGAGTGATGGCCCTATTACATTACCATGTGATGCACTATTCATGAACTACATCATATCATGACTCATTAGAACAAAAGGTGCAGATATCGATCTTCAGAATGCGTTGCTTGTATCAGTAGCTTCCAGTCGATGCTCCTCACCTTTATACCTTTAAGAACTACGAAACTGGGAATTGACCTTACTGTGATAAGTTTTGTAATGGATACATGATACTAAACAAGTGTACAGAACATTCAACATCTAATTATTCATCAAAACTCCATATTCTTGTCAACACTCTCTAACTTTGTGATTATCTCTGATTTCTTTCAGTTGATTTCTAGTAGTCCTATGGATTCAAATTGAACTCCATTAACAATGAGAATATAATAACAGAGAAGCATGATCATATTTTATGTTGTCAATTTTGGGATTGGCCTCTAAAGTATTCACAGAACAATCAGTAAGCAAAAATAGACTCGGGCTTCAGTCTTTTTATTTTTGACTGATAGATAAACTACCATAATAGGGTTCTAAATTATGTAGGTTGGACCTCCAGAATATCCAAATATATGTAGTCCTTATTCATAAGAAAGTTATGTCAAAAGCTGCATTAAACTAATTTTTCAAATAAGATAAAAAGCAAAGTTTGAAGCAAAAGTCAAGAAGCATAACAAGAAGTATAATACTTCAAATAGAAGACATTAAGCTGTATTTCCCGTCTAAAAGCCTTATCTTTCCTGTCATTGATCAATATCCTTCATTTTCTTACACATAAACTACAGTATTTTGTAATAAATGATCTTTTTATCTTTCTTTCCATGTACAGCGGTCCACCAAAAAGAAAAAAACAAAGAAAAAAGACTTACTGAATTAATTGCAAACGACTAATTTCTTTGGTTGCTGAATCGCTTAGTTTGTTTTGATACTATTAACCAAACAATGGTTCAGTTTTCTTATTGTTAATGTATCTTGTGTGTAAAATTTGTCAACAGTGTTACTCAACCCCAAAAGATTTTGCTATAACAAAAGCAGAATAGAACTAGACAAGATTACAATTTAAAAGATCCCTTATCTACATGACAAAGAAAGGAGTAGCACATGGTTTTGCCTTCTACCAGCTATTCTTCATTCATAGGTTTCAACTTATTGTCATTGGTGAGAAGTCCCATGTATGAGCTGATATCATAACTAATAGGTCCAATCTGTTGTCAACCAAAGTGAAGAAATGAAGAAACTTACTATTATTTTCCATCCTTTCAAATTTAAGGCCCCATATCAACATGACCAACAGGCATCAGCACATGGCTTTGCCTTTTGTTAGTAACAAAAACTTCAGCTCCAACTAAAGATTAGTCGTCTCCAGTTTTTTGTATAAATAATCCCCCTTTCATGAACCTTTTCATTACCAATCCAGGACAAGCATTAACAATTCAACCCTCAAAAAGTGTCTAAATTTCTTGTTTACTTTCTTGTTTTAATCTTCCGGAAAAAAAAAAGACAATGATCAGTGCCAAGAAACTCATCAAAATGGCTAGGAGATGGCAGAAGTTCGCAGCCAAGCAGAGGAAGAGGCTTTCATTTCCAAGAAATGGTAGTGATTCAGACAGTTGTAGTACATCTTCATCCTCTATAGTTGAAAAGGGCCATTTTGTAGTCTATACAATTGATCAAAGGCGATTTGTCATTCCCTTGGCATACCATGAAAATGAGGTCGTTAGGCAACTCTTAAACATGTCGGAAGAAGAGTTTGGGCTGCCGAGTGCTGGCCCTATTAAATTACCCTGTGATTCAGCGTTCATGGATTACATCATTTCACTAATCAAGAAAGGTGTGGCTGCTGGAGATCTTCACAAAGCATTGCTCCTGTCAATTACTTCGTGTTGCTGTTCCGCTTATTCTTTGCACCAAGAAAGTGGAAATCAGCAGCTTCTTGTTTGTTGAGTCATGACATAGTGTTTTGTAAATGATAGCTCAAAATAGATTGTAAAGTAGGAAACTAAAAGAATGTGTTACAACAGATGAAATGGAGCTTTCAATTTTCAATTTTGAAACTAAGAAGTTCTTAACATTATCATCATGGAATGGCAATACTATCTTATCCCGGGCAATTAACTTGGTTGATCAAAACTTATAAATATATGAATCATTCTGACTAAAAAAGTGGAAGCCATATTACATTAGAGTTTTTGTAACGACTCGACTTATAATTTTGAGAATTAGCGTTCCGTTCGGTGGCTTAAGATCTTGAGCAGCTTTGAAATGTATATTATGACTTGCGAGGGTTGTCAAATTTGGTTTTCGGATGATTCGGAATTTAATTGAAAGAACAATTCTTTGTTTTGGAAGCTTAAATTGAAATAATTGACCGGATGGTGAATTATGTGTAAACTGTTGGAATTTGGACTTGCGTTGATTGGTTATAGTCTGAAAGGATAGTGACGTGACCCAAGTGGTGGATAAATAATATGCCTAATATTAAATATTATATGTGTGGATAAGTGAAGCCCAACAACAATTGACATGTGATGAATAAACACTCTTTATAAATAGAGGCCAACCCCCCTTTCCCTAGCTATTAGAAAACCCTAGCATATTTTGCCTCTTGAATACATGATAACTGTAGACGTCCCATCAGTCAAGTTCTCCGGGCTGTGAGAGCGCGTATCTAGTGGATCGTGGAAATTGGTCTCAGGCTTAATAGACGTTTACTGTCACTGCTGAATCCATTGAGTTTAACGGTACGCTTTCTTAAACTCTAACTCTAGATTGATTGTGTAATTGTGTGTTAATCTCTGCTATGACTACGAATTAATTATCTTACAGTTAGTATCAGAGCCACCTAGTTAGAGATTAAGATCGTTGTTTAATCTTGAGTTTATACATATGAACTACCGTTAGTTTTGACACTGGATCATGGAAGCAGTTTTCATGACACCCGGTTGCTCTAACTCACTGATTCATTGAGTTCGAGAATAGAGACACGATTTTATTTAATTTGTTGTGTTATTTTGTTTAATTAAAGAATGAAATTGGCCGACACGGTGTTTGATGCCAACGATAACAGAAAGTGGTGTAGTAGGGTTTAAACAGATGCACTTAATTAAATCCACCGATTTCTTGCATGATATGCCAATTGACTCTATTCTAATACTTACTGTTTGGAGGCTTTGGCTCGCAAATCAATTTGAGGAATAATCTTTCACTGTAGTTTAGTGATTAGCTAATCTAGATTGGTTGATACCCCAAGGAAATTGTCCTTAATGGATTATTCTATATTAT